CCACGGGGCTTCCAAGCCTGTAATCTTCACAGAAGCAGAGGCCTTGTCTGTCTCCCGCAGAGCTGCCGATAGGTTCAAACCATGCCCCTCTCAGGTAGCAGCCAAATGCTTGTCTGTTGCAACTTACCTACCTCCATCTGCTGGTGTTGTCGTTTACATATCTCCATCTATTTGTGTGTTGTTGTTAGGTGCCATCAGGTCCAGAGTGACTCACAGCGACCCTGTGCACCACAGGTCGGGACCCTGCCCTTGAACCCTGTCCTTCCCTGCGCCGTCCTCATCATCTCTGTCACACTTGCAGTCACTCTGTCAGTCCAACCTGTTGAGGGTCTTCCTCTCTTTCGCTGAACCTCCACTTTTCCAAGCATGATGGCCCTTTCCTATATAGAGAGCTCTGGTGCCTAGCGGTAAGAAGCTGCCCTGTCATACCAAACACACATGGTTCGAATCCACCAGCTGCTCCGCTGACGGATGAGAAAGATGGACAATCTCCTTCCACAGAATGAACGTATTGCCTTTGGAGGGTGAGCTATACTCACATACAGGCACGCCGGGACTGTGGCACGTTATGTATCATCCTGCAAACCACAACGCCAGGGTCCAAGCCCGCCAGCTCGCCCCACAGGGAAAGGGGCAGTCTCTTCCCATTGATTTCCACTCTCGGAAAGTCAAGGGAGGGTCACGGTGAGTCAGAATTGACTCATGAGTTTTAGTTTTGTTTTGTATGTATTGGCTGTATAATGTATTATGTGGAATATATTCTCTGTCTGTGTGTGTCTGTGTCTCTGTGTGTGTGTGTGTGTGTGTGTGTCTCTCTCACTCTTTCTGTCTCTGTCTCTCTCTCTTTCTGTCTCTGTCTATCTCTCTCTTTCTGTCTCTCTCTCTCTTTCTGTCTCTGTCTCTCTTTCTGTGTGTGTGTGTGTGTGTCTCTCACTCTTTCTGTCTCTGTCTCTCTCTCTTTCTGTCTCTGTCTATCTCTTTCTTTCTGTCTCTGTCTCTCTCTCTTTCTGTCTCTGTCTATCTCTTTCTTTCTGTCTCGGTCTCTCTCTCCCTTTCTGTCTCTGTCTCTCTCTCTTTCTCTGTGTGTGTGTCTCTCACTCTTTCTGTCTTTCTCTTTCTGTCTCTGTCTCTCTCTCTTTCTGTCTCT